ATGCGGTGCGCTGCGCCGTGCAGAATGCGTGTGGTGACACCGCGCGCGCATGTGCGCGCACACTCGCACGAGGTGTGCCATGCGCACAGCGCATGGGGACGCGTCACCCCTGTAAGGTGCGCACTGTGCGCGATGCCTATTTTCGGTGTGTGTGTGTGTGTGAGAGAGAGAGAGAGAGAGAGAGAGAGAGAGAGAGAGAGAGAGAGGAAAGAAACTGTGTGAGAGAGAGAAGAACCATGTGCTGACACTATCGGACCAAAGAAACCGCCCTTATCAACGGGCAACATGAACCCAGAAGTGGGGCGACATGCACAAAGGACAAAAAATATGGCGGTGTATCTTTCCATGTTCTGGCGGAAAATTCATTCATACGTTGGGTGGTGGAGAGCGAAGGGCCTATGAATCAGGTAAGCCGCTGAAGCCAAGGGCAACAGTGCCTGTCACTCGTTGCGCCCTCTTCCGAGGTCCTCAGCGACCAGCAGGGGAGTGGGGGGGTTGAAAGGCCTGCTGCGAATGCACTATGCGAATGATCTGCCATTGAGTAGAGAGTCCCTGATCAACCAATGAGTGGCCATTGCCTGGTGGCCATTGCCTGATCGGCCAATGGGAAGAGAGTGCAGGACCAGCCAATGAGTGGCTGCTATTTGATTAGCCAATGAGTAAATGCTGCCTGATCCCCCAATCAAAGGCCGCTACCTGATCTGCGAATGAGAGGCTGCTGCCTGACCTGCCAACGAGCGGCTGCTGCCTGACCCGCCAATGAGAGGCTGCTGCCTGAAGTGATTTGCACTATCATTTACTCTCTTTTCACCCTCACTTACCTGCGCCGTCTCTCTCGCCGCTCTGGAAGCTGAGTAACGAGGTCTACTTCGAAATCATATGATAAAGTGTGATCCTTGAGATAAATAAATAAATAAACAAATAAAATAAATAAATAATTTCAGGGAGAGTAATTAGCGAGCCAGTCCGCTCGCTTGGTTCCAAGCGAACCAATCAAGAGGGAGCTGCAAACTGCAGATTCAGTTTCAAACACACCAATCAAGTGTAAACAGTGTTACTCACGGGTAGTCATCTTCACGCCTTCTCTTCTCTCCCAGATACTACCCTGGGGTTCTCATTCAATCCACATGTTCCCAGTCTCCCCATCCAACCGTTCAACCTCACCCGAAATTGAAAAGCCCCCCCTTTTTTTATCAAAGTGACACATGTGGGATCGAACGCTATGATGTCGCAGCATTCCCATAATCGAAATCCCAACGGTCAATACCTTTGTTTTCAAGTCCCCCTTACCTGCGCAAAACCCGATCTTCAGTTGGAAGCTCACGCTACAAGTCATGAACGTTTGTTATACATCATCTTGAGTTTCAATCGAAACTCTACTCGTTTTCTGAGAACTTACAGCAAATAGCTTTTAGATAGGTCAATTGTGGTGACCAGAGTTCTTACTCTGCGGCCTCCCTCACGCCCTCTCCCTCTCTCTCTCTTTCTCTCTCTCTCTCTCTCTCTCTCTCTCTCTCTCTCACACACACACACACACACACACACACACACACACACACTGCGCAGTCTCTCTCTCACTGCGCAGTCCCTCTCTCTCACTGCACTCACTGTGCAGTCCCTCTCTCACACACTATCTCACTGCCTCACTCTCCCTCTCTCACACTCTTTGTCACACTTTCTCTTTCACTGTCACACTCTCCCTCTCTCAGACACCCTCTCACTGTCACACTCCCTCTCTCAGACACCCTCTCACCGTCACACTTTCCCTCTCTCACCCACACTGCGCAGTCTCTCTCTCACTCTCTCTCACTGCGCAGTCTCCCTTTCACCCTCTCTGTTGTGTTGTCACTCCCCCCCTCTCTCTCTCTCTCTCTCTTTCTCTCTCTCTCTCTCTCTCTCTCTCTCTCTCTCTCTCTCTCTCTCTCTCTCTCTCTCTCTCTCTCTC